TGTTGTTGACAAAACAAATGGTACATAACTACACTAGCCTTCCACCTATCTATTACACAACAGAAATTAGGTCAGCTGCAGACACACTGATCTGGTTTACAGTTAATAACAGCCCAGAGTACAGTTTGAGTATGTTGTTAAAGTATAGGTTGTAATTATGTGCAAACTGTGCACTATGGTTTAACTGTAGGTTGTTTAACAAACAACCCAAAGTTCACAAGCCAACAACAAACCATGGGATCTCTTCCTGGGATGCTCATGGTTAGCAAGTCATAGTTTACTTGCAATTAAGGGTTCACATGTTATGACAATGCATGATCCAACAGCATGGATTGGGGGGAGGGGAGGCACACACATGCATTCAGCAGTAAAGCCCATTCCCAATCATTATGCCTGCTCCCCTGTTACCTTTGCAACATAAGCTCACAGCCTAGAGATAGTTTCCACTCACCAGCAGAAATTTCCACTAACTCATCTTCAGTCTCATGTAGCAACTTGCCAGCTGCACTAATAAATCACTGTAGTTTGTCATACTCTCTGCACATCACTCCCAACCCAATCTGACCTAATGGACAGAGACAGCAAGGCATATCAAAACGAACAAGCATTTACCTATCCAGCTTGCAGCCTTCACTGCTTATAACCTATGCTCTGATTCAATTCAGCATTAAAGTTTGTAGAATCACAACCACACACATTCTGTCTGAAAATGAAGTGGGTGTCTGACAACTGGCAGCACAACTTGGAAATGAAGGCGGCAGAAGTGTCTTATTCTTGGTACTGAAGTCTGGTATGTTTGGAATATGCCAAAAATCTTATTGGCGTGGACAATGCAACAATCTAGCTGCTGGTCCTTGCAGTTAGGCTAACTAGTACAAGGGAGAAAGTTTGTCCAGCCCAGTTTTTTTAGGTAGGTGTTGAACGTAACACACCCAGAACAAAGCAATGCTAATATTCCAAAAAAGACTTATCATGGTCATTACACTGAATGCTTTTACATATATTCCTAAGCTTCCACATATATTCCTAAACCAATATATTCCAACCAATACTGGAACCAATATTCCATATATTGTTTACTCGCTCAACCAACACAGCTCTATGGACTTCAGAAAGCTAGCCATAACTACATATTTCATCCAGGCCCATGCATGCATGTTGAGTAAATGAGAAAAGTAGACGCTCAGAAAGAAGGTTCAGTATCCCATCCAACAGCATATCAAAACACAGTGCCATCACACTGTGGGAAAAACTTGCACCAAAAGTGGCAAAAAGTAATATTTATACTTACAGTCTCACATGCATGTTACTCAATAAGCTCTATGGACATAAGTGAAACATAAGTGACAATACTTACGTTTCAAAATAGGTTTTCTTCTCTCATCTCAACAAGTGGGATTTTACCTCAACAATAGGCTCAGGTAACTTATTTATTGCCATGATTATAGTGAAAAACTTTCATAAGCAAGGGATGCTGTCAACATATATTTCACATTATTTGGAACAGAGATGAACTATACTTCACCTGCACAAGTTCAGTGGATGTTCAATTTGTCCATGTAATCTTGACTTAAGGTACAATCTTTTGATATAATTAGACAGCAAAAAGTCTTATAATTCCAAGCATTTCCCAGCAAGCTTATGGGGCTTTTTTCTGTCTAAACATCCACAGGATTGTACTCTTAGTGGTATTATTCTGAGCTTGTTTCCCTTAAGAGTAGAAGACTTGAAACAGCTCCAGTACTGGTGAATGGGCTCATAAGACGTTCATAATGTTTTTCACAATATACTCTCAGCTATCATTATGAATTTTCTGCCATGTGTCAAACATCTCTGCAGCTACAAGGCCTAGAAAATCCAAACCTGAAGAGCTGGGACTATTTGAATTCTAACTAGCACACAAATGCCTTAAGACTTGCATATCCTACTTGAACATATGCTGCCTATATTAGTTCTTAATAGTTGGGGGAATTTAAATAGAAAAGCCTTATCTGGCTTCATGAAGCAGAAAAAACACCTGGACAGTTTAAGGCCTATTCCTACTTTCTGTCTTTACAAAACAGGCTGTTGTATCACATCGGCCAAATGAGAGCACACCTGAGCTTTGTCTGAACCTGTCCAAAATCATATGGCAGAGAATGAAAATCAAGTTACATATTCAGGTTAACAATGCCGATTTGATTGAGAAAGACAGAAAAGAAAACTAGGCAAAGACGAAAGAACAAGCCTGAGGGATTCAAGGCAGCAGGACAGGCCAAACCAGTTTGTTCATTATTAATGCTGCACTACTTTTCAAAACAATAAGCTCAGCCAGGTACTTAATTTTTTTTGGAAATTTTACTACTGTTTTAGCACTACATGATCACTGGGGGAGAAAAGCCAAATTGGCATGTAACACCCAAGAGCGTTTACTCTTGGACAAAGGGGACTGATTTGCTGCCTGTATGCAGTAACAGGGCTAGAACATAGATAATTTATACTCTGCCTTTTTCATGTGATACTGAGTGAATTAAAAATATTAAAGTTATACAGGAAATCTGTAAAACAAGCCCTAAAGTATCCAGCATCAGAAGACTCTCATGTAGTGGAATGTTTCTGTGTACATTTTGACACTTCGCTTCAGGCCACCTAATTAATAAGATTTCTGCAAAGAAGCCAAGAGCAGCTTGTCAACAACACCTTCAACTGATACCAGAACTTCAGGGATGTTTAAAGGGAAGTGATGAATCTTTCAACTAAAAGCTGCAGATAAAGTCTAATTCAAGAGATTAGCCAGTTATCTTAAAATTCCCTCAAACTCATTCACTCAAGACTATGAAACCAGAAAGATGTGATTCTAGAAGGTTTTCTATACTCCTACAGTCCTTTATGACAAGCCAGCAATGAAGAAGGGAAAGAAGCCATGGTGGATTCTTTTCCCTGCCCCATGTATGCCAGCTGCCTACTGTACAATTTGCTAAATTACCCATGGTGTGCTGTTGGTTTCTCAGATGGTCTGGAACTCCCCACTACCACTGTGCACCTCGCCAGGTTCAGATGACACACCAACCCACATACTGTAAGGGTAATTAAGCTAACTGTACACTGTGCAACCAACATGCACAGAAGTAGGAAAAAGAAGCCACCATGGCTTAATTTCTCCAGTGATCATGAAAACCAACAAATAAGTAAGCTAACCACAGCATGAGATCATCCCAAAGCATAACCAACATATTAAGCTCTGTATTGTAATGATTAAATGCAGCACATCAAGAAAAATCGTGCAAAATATGACAAAAAGCACACAAATATTAAAATACATCCCTACTCATTATTACGGCCAGTGTTCAAATACAGTGAAATGAAAGCAATCTGGTCCATGGAAGGATCACAGGACACCATTCCATCTACAAGGGTTCAAATAACAGACAAGAACCATGACTAAAGGGGGAGACATTTGTGCTGGCAAGGAGGAAACACAGGTAGATCTGAAATAAACTAAAGATTAAGCCGTGTTTTTATAAACACCACCTCTCCCAACTCCAGAAAGCCAGAGAAATCTCTTTTTCTAGCTGCTAAAACATCAACATGTCCTTCCTAGGTACAGGCTGCTAGGAGCTATAATTCACGTTGAATAATTCCTCTATTCTGTTGTTTGCTCTGCCCTGACCTTCTCCCACCCCTTTGGAAGTCAAATTCCCTATGCCAGCATAACACAACATCATGGAATAAACTGAGACTAAGCTCTTACCTCCCATCCTGGCTCCCCATAGCTTTAGCCAGGATGTTTTGGTTCAACAATACACACAGCAAGAGTGACTGGTATGCTCAAAGGTCGAGCAGCAAGGGTGTTTACCAGAGAAGTAACTACCTGTACAAACAGCTAAAGGTGGGGAGGGGGATAGGAGCAGCAACAGCAAAGCAAACCTCTTCCGGGGATCTCTGGTCTAACAACAGAGGGAAATTTATCACCAGCCAGCGTGCTAGCACGCAATCAAATCCAGACTTAGAGGAAAACTCCAGCTTCGTAACGTGCCAGAGTCCTGGGGATTGCACTTAATGGGTTCTGTGTGACGTTGGGGGATTGCAACAGAGCCAGGCTTTGGGTCAGCGGTTACTCATTCCACAGCTATGAGCTGCAGGAAGTGCTATATAAGGCAAGTGCGGTACGTTATTTGCCAAACGCGCTGGTATTTGGAGGCTTTGGGAAGGGGTGTAAGCGATGAAACCCACAAAGTCAAGGAGATGACGAAAGCCGGTATGCTGGCATGCGGGAACCGTTTGGGATGGGGAGGGGACGAGGAGTACTTTTTCTCTCCCTCTGCTCCACCCCAACGGCCCTCAGCCTTAGCCTCTGCTGGTGGCAAAAGGTGCAAGGCAGGCGTTTGAGGGAAGAGGTGCCCCATTACAGCGCATGTAGAATCCTGGGAGGGAAATGAGCAGCGCTTGCCTCTCCATGGGGACGTGGGAAGGGGGATGGCAGGCTCCTCTATGGGGGACCAAGGGCATGTGTGCATCCATAACTTCATCGAGAGAGGGGAAGCGAAAGCCCCATCCCAGCTCCCCCTTCTCCCCAACTCCAGGGATTTGGAGTGGGCTGCATGTGAAAAATAAATTAACCCTGCCCCCTCCTCTCCCTTTTTCTTAAGGAAAGGACCAAAGTCAGCCCCTCTTTCTTCCCATGTTGCCCAGGGGAAGGAGGAGGCGACCTCATGCCTCCTTATCTCCGCCGTAATATTACTAAAGACCTAGGAGAACAGAGCCCACATTCCAGCACCCCATTCCCAAAACATTTGGAGTGAGAGAACGCCAAACTGCCCCGCGTTCGCCCCACATTCCACAAAAGAGAAGCGAGAACCCCAGTTCTTCTTGCCCCTCCACCGCCACCCTAGTTCTTTAAAGGGGCAAGAAGGACCAAAGCCCGTCTGTTCCCCTTCCAGCAACTCCGACCTCCAGCAGTCCGCCGCACATACACACGCATGAGCGCGCCCCCCGCCCCCGACGCTTCGAGCCACACTCACCGACTCGGCGGCCGCGGAGGCAACCAAGAGTAGCAGGAGAGCGGCGCACAGGCCGGCGGGGCGACTGGGCTGCATGGCTTTCTTGGAGCTCCGCGAAGATCACAAGGCACAGACGGAGTCAGTCACGGCGTAACTAGCCTCCCCTCCCGCCGGCGCTCGGCTGTCTTATAGGCGGCCCGGCCCTTGGCGGAGGAGGAGGCGCGGCCTCTGCGGAGGAGGCGGTGGCGGCGGGAACTTCCCCCTGGCCTCGCAACCCTCTCGCTGCCGATGGGATGCTTCGGACAGGCACGCTCCGCTGTCCCAACTATTGCCTCGTGCTGTTGCTCATACAAGGAAGCACGCGGAATTCATTTCCACGAGAAGAAGCGATGGCCACTAACTTGGACTGTTTTAAAAGGGGATTGGTCAAATGCAGGGAGCAAAGGCTATCAAAGGCTACTAGTCCTGAAGGCTATATGTTCTTTCCAATACCGGCGGCAGTACACTTACGATCAGCCCCACGTTATAGGGAAGGGAAAGACTGGAGAGGGTATATTGCCTTGCCCGAGGCTATATAAACAAGCTGTGGTAGCGCTGGAATGATCTTAGTCCAGTTCTTTGGCCTTTCTGGGCTTTTCAGCGTTGCTTGCAACATTCCATTTGCAGTGGTCATCGATCACAGAACACAATAGCTGTTTTTCTGATTAGGATAATCCACTAGGAACACATTGCATTATTTTACCAGGGCCTGAACTGGATTTGGGATAACAGGATTTCAAACATGGCAGACATTATGCTTTCACCCTGATTTTGATAGAACAACCTCATCTTCTGTATGAGGACTAAAAGGTTGCTGAAGGATATCTGGTCTCATACAGAGAATAAAGAATGTAGAAGGACTGCTACCATAAATACAACCCCCCATTAAAAAAAAGAAAAAATGAAATAGTCATTTGACACTTCAAACACTTTCAAAGCAATCTAAGTCATGATGGCCACTAACTTGGATTACGTTAAAAGATTATAGAAATTAATTGAGGTGGTCTAATGTGATGGTTGTGACAACCCAGGGTTTTTCGTAATTCTAGGTTGTGAGTAGAGGCACATGAATGTGCCGATTCCCATCACCTGATTGCACAGTGCCAAATTGCCTAGCAGTTGCTCCTAGTGTATTGAGGGAGGAGCTAAACAACCCAGTGATGCTCTGTCCCTGGGTTGCTTAGGGTAAAACTTGAACAGCTTGTGAGTTTCCTATAGACATCTGGTTGACCACTATGTAAACAGTATGCTGGACTGGACAGAATTTTTGGTCTTATCCAGCAATGCTATTACGTTCTGAAGAAATGTTTGCCATTCAGTACACCACTGAAGAGCTTGCACACCAGCTGCTGAGGAATTTCAAAATTAAAAACAAAATAAAAATAGCACAGAGAGAAAGTCACAGAAAAATCTGGCAGTGGCAAGGAGTTTCATCCCCAGTAATATCATCACACAATATTAAGTAGATGTCCATGATACTTCCTCAACCCTATTCCATGACATTAGAAAGTTAAGGGTTAAGTTAAGGAGGAGATGTGCTTTCTGAATTTTAAAATAATATATGCTGATAGCTTGGAAAATACAGTTTCCTCTGAAGCACAGCCTCAAGGGAAGATGCATAGCCTGGTGTGCATCCAAATGAGTAACAAATAGACACTTATAGTACAAAAGAGCCATTATGCAGAAATGCTCTCAACTGCCATCCTTTCCTCTTTATTTACATGAGCCTACCTTTTCCATTTTCTTCCACATTGTGAATGTTTTCATTTGGAAGCCTATTAGTATATTTGTTGAACTGTGTGAAATTTGTTGCCAGTAAACAAGTAAATAATCAGCTGTAACCAAAGCGAGAGAGCAGGGCTGTGGTGGATAGGACACTGGGAGAGCCTTCTTTCATAGGGTCCCCCTAAGTTGGAAATGATTCTAGGACATGTAGAATCAACAAAGTAGAGGAGGGCTGACATTAATGCTGATGAGAGTTCACAGGGAAATGAAAAGGGGCTGTTCACAAAGGGAGGTTCAATAAAGAAGGAACTACAAGGAAAAACGGAAAAGGCAAAGCAGATACTTCTCTGAAAGTACTTATCCTTCTTCAGTACAGTTGTGCATCAGTCTACACAGTCGAGACTGGAGACTGTTAATGCTAGAGTTGTTCACCCATGAATTTAGTGGCTGTCATCAAAACATGTTTCATGTACAGAACCAAATTCTACTGACACTTCTTTGTTGATCAGACAAAACCTCAGATTATCTAGGTTTCACTACTACACAAGATACTTGTTTATTCATCTGGTGGCTTGTTAGATGTATTCTTCCCTCTAAATCACAGCTCCTTGTGTTTGGCACCAGCCTGCACGCATATGGCTACAAGCACAGAACTGCAGTGCTCGGTCACTTGCAGCTGGTCTGCTGTCACCTGCTAGTGAGAAAATGCGCACAGCGCTTCAGGCCTTAACCCCAGAGAAGTCTCTAAAGATGTTGAAGGTATGTTTACAGCAGGGGATGGGCTCTAATTTGAGCAAAGAATACAGAGCGCCGCCCAAAAAGTTGGATGCAAAAGGCATTTGTGTTGTCTCTAAACTCTATACAACATTTTTGCACACCCATGAAGCATTTTAGCTGTTAAATCAGGGTAAACTTTTTTGTTTTGTAGGACTGCAAGATTGGGCAACTAATTATCCAATTCAACCCTTTTTCAAATAAATAGCTGCCCAAAATTGTTGTTCTGCCCACTGGGGCACTTAAAGTGATATATAATACAATAATATAATAAAAACAGAAAGCAGTAAGAATAAAACAATAAGACAGCACTGTTTTGAAAATAGGCCAAAAGCATGTTAGCTTTCACCAAAGCCCTGGCATAATAGCATAATTTTTACTATTCCTCTAAAACTTAGAGGGATATTGTCAAACTGCTCTTTCTCAGGAGGAAATTCCCAGTTTGGGTGTTGCTGTAGAAAAGGAGACAGTATTCTTTTTTCCTTCAGAGTTATTTTTATTCATATGCAAATTTAAACAGATTCATTCAATTAAAACTGATCTAATTAATCATTAGTATGACCTTATGCGCCAGTCATTAGTGGTAAAATGCTAAATAATGAAATTCAAATCTGATTCAAAGGGGATAGGATCAGGCTGTGAGAGACTTTTTTTCATTTGGCTGCAGTCCTCTTTTTAAGTGTATTTAGTCCTTTTTTGTTAAAATCACAAACGCATGTGGGTCTATCTCAGATTATATTCTGTTGGTGGTTTTAGTGGTATATACAATGGCATTGGTAAAGGCAAGCTGGAAGATGGATAGTGAATTAATAAGTACTATCCTGCATCCTGTCTTGGGAAGAAAATGTTAATCTTCTCAAAAGAGGAAAAAAGTATTATCTGTTAAGATAACTGATTTTATCTGCTTCTTTTCTATGAAAAGGAGCACTTTCCAATTTCAGAGTAAACTGCATTGAAGTAACTGGCACACAAATTTCTCTTAGCAATTATATAGTCCATTGTTGTTTTCCTGGTACATTCCTCACTACTTGCCTTCTGGTTACTGCTCTTTGTTTCCTCCTCTCTCCCTAAATGAATATATTTTGTGTTGCTCTTATTTGTACTTTCCATTTTTGCATGAAGTTGTTTTAGCAGTTTGAGGCATGTCCCTGGTGTCTATTTGCACCTGGTATTATAGACATTAATATAACTGAATTACGGCCCCAGATCACAAACTCCTGGCATGTTCAGCAGGATTACTTTAAAATAAATATTTCATGCTTAAAGTACTTCCTGTAGTTTCATTTATTTCACTTCTGTACTGCCCAATAACTGAAGTTATATTTAAAAAAATAGATACTACAAAAGTAGAAAACTTGTTGCTAAATGTAGGTTGCATCTATATATAGGTTTTTCATCTTTGCCAATATAAGCAGAAAATAAGGTTTTTTTCCTGACCTTTAAAGTGAAAGCAAACAAAAAGGTGGGGTGGAATGAATTTAAAATTTCCCTGCTGTGATTCTTATCTGGGGCTTTATGTCACAGGAAATTTATCTGACATCAGGTTGATAGAAGCAGCTAGACTACTACTATTGCCACCACTTTTAGTTTCTATCCTGTCAGCGCTTTAGTAAATACCAAAGTAACAAACTTCCCGCCAGCCACCAGGAGGTATTTCTAGGCGTGGTACAGCCCCAGTCCTGTAACAGTTCACCGGTCGCAGCATTGTGATTACTGAACAAATGAAGGAATAATGGACAAACTGAAGAACACATTCTTCAAAATCATTCAATAAATAAATATTTATTTTATACTGGTGCAAAGTATCCAGTATGTTTCATGTCCAAACAGGGACTAATTTTTTTCCAAGTATAAATCCCCCTAATACCATTGCTCTGATCCAGTTTGAAACCCCTCCTACTCTGTGGCTGCTTTTAAATGAAAACATGTTAGAAACTCCAGTTGCAGATCTCCCATGTAATATATACTTTGGTCCTCATGTTTTTCTCAGAGTGAATTCATGAAACCAATCCTTGTTCGATGAGGAAGACGTCACCTTTTAATATATTTATGTATTTATTTATTACCTTTAGAATGAATTAAACATGAATTTGGCTGCTACCATATCATGCATTTAGCAAAATTCAGCTTTCAAATTTGCTGGGCAGCTGGCTGGACAGCAGTCAGATGAGTGAGAGATGTCCCATTTGAGAAGATTGTAAATACTCATCTTGAGCAATACAATTCAAATGAGTAAAATTCAACATGAGCAGTGCAAGCTCATTAATCGTGAACTATTACCAGGTATTAGCATTAGGAGGGGACTTTTATATAGTTTTAATGTGTAATGGAAGCTTTAAAATGAAAAATGCTGCAGCTATTCTCTCTTGTCTGCGATCACAATGCTTAAAAAACGTTGGTTTGTGTCAATGAGTAATAAACAAAATGGGAAATAAGCTTAGTTGCTGCTGTGTTTTCCAACCATGAGATATTTGCATGAATTCAGTAACATTTCCTGAGCATACACTGGTGGTTTATCACTCAGTTATCAAGAAAGTGTTTTCTGTGTAACATAGATTCCTGCCATGAGTTTTCTAAACTAAGCACATGGTTGCCACTTTTCTGTCATACAGAATAGATGGTCCTTAAAAGCTTCCAT